GCGCGGTTTGGGAACAAGTTTGAGGAAGTAGCAGGCGGGAGCCGTTGTTGTTGTAACGCAGGGGCCAGGGGCACAGTTTCGTGACACCTGATTTCCCCTATGAAAAGACAGGGTGCGAGCCTCGGGAAACGTGTTTTCGTAAACAAAATACAGTGGTTATTGGAGGGAGGGATCAACAATACCTACACTTCAGAAGTAGAACTATTTATTTAATCGCTTCGCTCATTCCGCCGGTCCTCGAGCGCTCTATGGGGCCTCTTTGAAGCCTCTTGGGGGCCTCTTTGGGGCCTCCTAGGGGCCTCTTGGGGGCCTCTTGGGGGTCTCTTGGGGCTCCTTGGCGGCGTCTTGGGCCCCCCTTGGGCCTCTTGGGTGGCTCTTGGGGGCCTCTTGGGGCGAGGTAGTCGAGTGCACCCCCCTCGGAGGCCACGATCCTCGTGAGGGGTGTCGAAAAAAGGCCCTCAAAACCATCTCTGATCCGACCCTGCCGGGGATCGCCCGGGGCACTTTTCGCCGGGGGACCCCCAGGGGCCGCCCCGCGCGCGCGAACTAGAAGTATTATTTAGCAGTTACCGGAGATCTTAGCACGCCTCTGGCCCGTTGGGCTGGCGAATTCTTCTTTGCCCACGTGCCATCAAACACGTATATCCCAAACCCTCGGTACCCGCCCTCTTCGTCTTCGATCGTACCCCCTTGTGCGTATATCTTCCTCACCTGCAGAAGTTGTATTTCGTGCAGCCCCTCAGGCAGGGGAAGAGAGGGCGGACGGAATGATCGGTCAATGGGGAAGGGGGACCATTGGACACCAGAGAGCGTAGCAGGAAGGGGGGCAAGGAGCAGCAAGCACGTGGCAGAGCCAGACGGGCAGATCGGGCGGGCAGACCCTAACAGGCGGGTCGGGAAGGCGGGCCCTGGCGACCAGGACGAGCGGGGGGGTTGCTCAGACGTGCGTCTTGCGTGAATCGCGAGGAAGTTTTGAGCGACAGCGCGATTCCCAAATAAACCGTGAGGAAGTCCAAAGCGAGAGCGTGATTCCTGCGTGTCGGCGGCGCCGCGTCTGAACACATTGAAAGAAAGTCCCACGCGAGAGCGTGATTTCTGCGTGAGTTGTGCAGGAGTTCCGCGCGAGAGCGCGATTGGGAATACATTGTAAGGAAATATCAGGCGGGAGCCGCTTTTGTTATAAGCCAGGAGCCAACAGCACAATTCTGAGACCCAACAATTTCGCTGATGGAAAGCAGGGTGCGAACCCCTGGAAGGGCACTTCACTTGAAAACGCACCCGGAGGGGTGGATGAGCAATAGTAATTGTTCAAGAGTGAGAGCTCAACAACAACAGCAGCAACAACGACGCAACAATAACAACAACGACAGCAACAGCAGCACCACCAGCAGCACCAACAGCAGCAACAACAACACTAGCAGCAACACCAACAACACTAACACTCATTTTAATGTTATTCGCTTCTATCTGCCCGCGTGCCACTCAACACGCATATCCCAAACCCTCGGTGCCCTCCCTCTTCGTTTTCGATCGTACCCCTTTTAGGGGATATCTTCCTTAATTACCTGCCACGCGTATGTAGTGCAGCACCTCGAACCGGGGAGAAGAGGACGGATGGAAGGGGGAGGGGGAAGGATGGAGCACGAGAGAATTAGCAGGACGGGGGCTAGGATTAGACGGCGCGTGGCTGAGCCAGACGGGCAGATCGGGCGGGCAAACCATAGCAGTCTGGTCGGGAAGGAGGGCCCAGGCGGCCAGGTCGAGCAAAAGGGTTGCTGAGTCGTGACTGCTGCACGAATGGCAAGGAAGTCTCCAGCGACAGTGCGATTCCCAAGTAAATCGTGGGAAGCGCCAGTCCAACAAAACGTGATTCCTTAGTGTCGAGGGCGCGTCGTGTGAATGAATTTAAAGATGGTCCCACGCGAGAGCACGATTCCTCATACATTGTGAAGAAGTCCTGGGCGAAATCGTGATTTTTTGGTGAGGAAGTATGACGCGTGAGCCGTTGTTGCTGTTGTTGTTGTTGTTGTTGTTGTTGTTGTTGTTGTTGTCGCTGCTGTTGTTGTTGTTGTTGTTGTTGTAGTCGGGGGAGGCGACACAGTTTGAGCACGAATATACGTCCTGTTAGAAACAAGGTGCGAGCCCCGAGAGGGGGCAATTTAATTGAACGGCGCAGTCTGCACGGGTGTGTGTGTGGGGGTCAACAATATATTTCCCTTAAATGGAAAATTCAACACCAGCACCGCTCATTTTGAACTTTTCACTCTGACCTGCTCGCGTGCCAACCATTACGCCTATCCAACCCCTCGATGCCCGGCTTCTTCGTCTTCGATCGTACCCCCCGGGGGATTGTTTTCTTACTTTCCGCGTGATTTAGTGCAGCCCCAGGGACAGGGAGAGAGAGGACGGATGGAATGGGGAGGGATCGGTTCGGGGCACGAGGGGAATTAGCAGGAGGGGAGTTCGGAACATAAGAAAGTGGCAGACATGTTAAGACGGTTCGCTCCTATCCGTTCGCGGGTCATTCAACACGTATATCGAAAACCCTCGATACCCGTTTGCGTCGTCTTCGATCGTACCCGTTGGTGTATATCATCCTCACTTGCAACGTGTCTTTCGTGCAGCCCCTCAGGCAGGTGAAAAGAGGACGGATCGAAAGAAGGGGCACAGGGGAAGGAAGAGGATGGAGCACGAGAGAGAGTAACAGGAGGGGGGCTAGCAGCAGAAAACACATGGCACAACCAGGCGGGCAGATCGGGCGGGTAGACCCTGACGGGCGGGTCGGGAAGGCGGGCCCAGGCGGCCAGATCGAGCAGGCGGGTTGCTGAGGCGTGAGTCCTGCATGAATCACAAAGTAGGCTGCAGCGACAGTGCGATTCCCAAGTGAGTTGTGAAACGATACGCAGCGACAACAATTGTGAGGCAGTCTGGCGCGAGAGCGCGACCTCTCAACACATTGCGAAGTATCCGGCGGGAGCCGTTGTTGTTGTTGTAATTCGGGGGTTTGGGGCCCAATTTGGTCACCCCACACCTCCCACTGTAAAAAAAGGCGCGAGCTCAGGGCGGGGCATTTCATTTAAAGAACACAATGGTAATGGGCAGGAGACAGCAAGGGAACATCAAACAACCACCAACAACACCAACGACAACAGCACCAACAATAACGACAACAACAACGATCAGTTTAAGACTGTTCGCTCTGATTGTTCGCGTGCTCGTCAACTCGTATATCTCAAACCCTCTCTACCCGCCCTCTTCGTTTTCGATCGTACCCCCCTCCGGGGCGTATATCTTTCTTACCTGCAACGTATATTTCGTGCAGCCCCTGAGGCAGGAGAAGGGAAGATTGATGGAATGAAGGGACAAGGGGGAGGGAGGATTATGGAACACGACAAAAAGAAGCAGGAGGGGGGCTAGGAGCAGAATTCACGTGGCAGAACCAGACGGGCAGATCGGGCGGGTAGACCCTAACGTGCGGGTCCAGGAAGCCCTCAGAGACCGCCAAGAGGGCCCCAAGACTGCTTAATACTGCCCCGAGATGGTCGTCGGAAACGCCCCAGGGCCCGAAGGCTGCCCAACAGGGCTCCATGATAGTAGGAGACGCCCTGACGGAGTGGCACAGGGTCAAACGGACAACACGGGGACCAGCATAATGCGCCTTGGCGCGGCGCAGCGTCAAACGGACAACACGGGAGTCAGCACGATGCACCTTATGGGCATTATCTTGTTTGATGTTCTTTTCCTCGCAAGTCACGCCCACTTGTTCTCCAAAGTCGGGATTCATGGTTACATCAGGTTTTTAGACATGAGAAAACAACAGCAACAGCAACAATAAGGACAACAACCACCAACAACAGTAGCACCACCAACAACAACAACAGCAACATCAACAACCGCAACAACAACACTTACTTTAAGACTGTTTTCTCTTTTTGTTCGCGTGCTCGTCAACTCGTATATCCCAAACCCTCGGTACCCGCCCTCTTCGTTGTCGATCGTACCCCCCCCCTCTGGGGAGTATATCTTTCCCAACTTCAGCGTATATTTCGTGCAGCCGCTAAGGCAGTGTGAGGGAAGACGGATGGAAGGAAGGGACAAGGGGGGAAACGTCCCCCTTGTAAAAAACAGGTTCGAGCCTTAGGAGAAGCACGTTCAGTTGAAAATAGACTTGTGACCCGAGTTGTGGAATCGACCATTATTCTTTAGACATGAAGATTCAACAACAGCAACAACACCAACAACAACAGCAACATCAACAACAGCAGCAACAACAATAGCGGCAACACCAACATAACAACAGTCAACAACAACAATAGTGAGGCAGTTTGGCGCGAGAGCTCGATCTCTCAATACACTGTAAGGAAGTATCAGGCGGGCACCGTTACTGTTGTAACCCAGGGGGCCAGGGGCCTAATTTGGTCACCCCACACTTCCCCTTGTAAAACACAAGGTGCGAGCCCTGGGAGGGGCATTTCATTTTTTCTGAGAACACAGTGGTAATTGGCCACGGGACATCAAGGGAACATCAACAATATCTTTTCTTGGAATTGATGAAACAACAAAGCGACAGCAGCAGCACTCATCAACAGCAAACAGCAACAACAGCGCAACTCCAATCCGCGCCGCTGAACCCCAGTTCAGCCACGCACCCAGGGACTGAATAACCGTTTGGCCCTCTCACCCTGATCAAATCTACTACACGTAAGAGTGACCTCTCGCCGGAGTGACTTTCGGTGCGATCTCATCGGGATCCCCCAATCGCTGAGCGCGATGTGTTAGCGGCTGCTTGCGCGCTTGCATTTGGCCACCTTTGCGTCCCTTTAGTCCCCGCATCAAAGGCCACTCTTGCCTAGGGCCAATCTTGCGGGTAGTCGATCAAACCAGTCAGAATTTTGGAGAGGCCTTACGGCCGGTGCCGCCGACCCTGAACGACGTCGACGGCGGCGACGATCAGGCACAGCGCCCCCGCGGTCAGCCCCAACGGTGGCACCGCCGCGCAGCCCCGGCCCCAAGGGCCGCCGGCGGCGGCCTGCGACACGGCCGCAGCCGCGGGCGCCGAGGCGCGGCGGCATGCTGCGGGGGGCCCCGCGGCCGCGGAGCCGACAGGCTCGCCCCGGCGGCCGAAGGTGAGAGGAGGCCGAAGGACGCGTAATGGTTGGCGATCGTGGGGGGGGCAGCGAGGGCTGCCGAAAAGGGGCCCTTCAGGGCCCCTCAAGGGGCCATTTCGAGGCCGAGAAGGGCCCCCCCCTCATTGATTCATGCCCCCCATGAATTCGCCTTCAAGGAGGGCCAGTCGAGACAGCGGTTGCTCGGGGGCTAAGCAATTCGGACGGGGCTGAGACGAGGATGAGTCTGTTCCAGATCGTTCCGGAACGCTCTCGGTGCGTTCTGGAACGCTCTGAGAAGGCCGCGGCGCCCGAGACATCCTCCAGAGCCGCCAGAAGGGTTGGATGTGAATTAATGGGGGGGCAGAATGGTGTCATTTCGGGCCCTGATGGCTCCCTTCTGGGCCCTAATGGCTCCCTTCTGGACCCTTCTCGGGCTAATGGTTCCTTAGGGACCCTGAAGGGCCCCTTTTCGGCAGCCCTCGCTGACCCCCTTTGCTCGCCCGCCCCATTTATCGCCACCCAAGAGGGCGAGTTGAGACAGCGGCATTACCCGGGGGCTGAGCAATGGCATAAACATGAGAGCTCGGAGGTCCGCGCGGGTTTCCCGGATCGGCGCTGGACCCCCTCCCTTGGCGCGCGCCAGGGGTCCCCGGCGCAGATTCGAGGAACCCGCGCGGATCTCCGAGTTGTGATGTCTGTGTCGTTGCTTGTTCCCGTCATTTCTGGGCGCCAGGGGAGAGGAGGGGGAGGAGGAGGAGGAGGAGGAGGAGGAGGAGGAGGAGGAGGAGGAGGAGGAGGAGGAGAGGAGGAGGAGGAGGAGGCGGAGGGAGGAGGAGGAGGGGAGGAGGAGGAGGAGGAGGAGGAGGAGGAGGAGGAGGAGGAGGAGGAGAGAGGAGGAGGAGGAGGGGAGGAGGAGGAGGAGGAGGAGGAGGAGGGGAGGGGGAGGGGGAGGGGGAGGGGGGGGAGGGGAGGGGGAGGGGGAGGGGGAGGGGGAGGGGGAGGGGGAAGGGGAGGGGGAGGGGGAGGGGCGAGGGAGGGGGAGGGGGAGGGGGAGGGGGAGGGGGAGGGGGAGGGGGAGGGGGAGGGGGGGGGGGAGGGGGTCGGGGAGGGGGAGGGGAGGGGGAGGGGGGAGGGGGAGGGGGGGGAGGGGGAGGGGAGGGGAGAGGAGGGGGAGGGGGAGAGGGGGAGGGGAGGAGGGGGAGGGGGAGGGGGAGGGGGAGGGGGAGGGGGAGGGGGAGGAGGGAGGGGAGGGGGAGGGAGAGGGGGGGAGGGGGAGGAGAGGGAGAGGGATGAGGAGAGGGGAGGAGGGAGGGGGAGGGTAGGGGGAGGGGGAGGAGGGGAGGAGGAGGAGGAGGAGGAGAGGAGGAGGGGAGGAGGAGGAGGAGGAGGAGGAGGAGGAGGAGAGGCCAGGGGATTGTGGAGCCCCTCGTCGTTTTCATATTTTTTATGGAGTGAAACGCTCTTTCACCCTTAAGCTTTGATTGTTGGTTGTCATGTTTCTTTCCGCCGTGATTCCCTCATACTAAGCTTTTCTCATTATATCGTTCTCTAGTGTTCTGTTTCTCTCTCTCTCTCTCTCTCTATTTGTCTCTCTCTCTCTCTCTTTGTCTATCTCCTGCACCAGGCCAACGCATGCCGATGCGATAAAAATCCATGCCCAACCAACACCAATGCCAATGCAATGCCAATGGGGGAATCCTTTCGTTCGGTGGATTTCAATTTGAATGCTTTGTGGATGATGTCATTACAGCGCCGGTGTTAATACATGCTCCGCGTGCGGACCATGTACTAAAAATTATCCTGGCGAAGGGCCCAACCATACGCAATTCCGAATGCCGCCGTTGTAAGTATCGTCGTTGGTGGAACACCCGATGGGGCCACGAAGCGTGTGAGAGGTGCGCCAAATGGAGGTGGAACTGCATGCGGACCCTGCCACTGGGGCCTTCGGTGGAGCACCCTGTGGGGCCGCGAAACGTGTGAGGGGTGCGCCGAAATGGAGGTGGAACTGCATGCGGACCCTGCCATTGGCGCCCTCGGTGGAGCTCCCTATGGGGCCGCGAAACGTGTGAGGGGTGCGCCGAAATGGAGGTGGAACTGCATGCGGACCCTGCCACTTGGGCCTTAGGCGGAGCTCTCTATGGGGCCACGAAACGTGTGAGGGGTGTGCCGAAATGGAGGTGGAACTGCATGCGGACCGTGCCACTTGGGCCTTAGGCGGGGCTCCCTATGACGCCACGAAACGTGTGAGGGGTGCGCCGAAATGGAAGTGGAACTGCATGCGGACCCTGCCACTTAGGCCTTAGGCGGAGCTCCCTATGGGGCCACGAAACGTGTGAGGGGTGCGCCGAAATGGAGGTGGAACTGCATGCGGACCCTGCCACTGGGGCCTCAGGTGGAGCTCCATATGGGGCCACGAAGCGTGTGAGGGGTGCGCCGAAATGGAGGTGGAACCGCATGCGGACCCTGACACTTGGGCCTTCGGTGGAGCTCCCTATGGGGCCACGAAACGTGTGAGGGGTGCGCCGAAATGGAGGTGGAACCGCATGCGGACCCTGACACTGGGGCCTTCGGTGGAGCTCCCTATGGGGCCACGAAACGTGTGAGGGGTGCGCCGAAATGGAGGTGGAACCGCATGCGGACCCTGACACTGGGGCCTTCGGTGGAGCTCCCTATGGGGCCACGAAACGTGTGAGGGGTGCGCCGAAATGGAGGTGGAACCGCATGCGGACCCTGACACTGGGGCCTTCGGTGGAGCTCCCTAGGGGGCACGAAACGTGTGAGGGGTGGCCGAAATGGAGGTGGAACGCATGCGGACCCTGGACTTGGGCCTTCGGTGGAGCCCCCTGTGGGGCCACGAAACGTGTGAGGGTGCGCCGAAATGGTGGAACCGCATGCGGGACCCTGACACTTGGGCCTTCGGTGGAGCTCCCTATGGGGCCACGAAACGTGTGAGGGGTGCGCCGAAATGGAGGTGGAACCGCATGCGGACCCTGACACTTGGGCCTTCGGTGGAGCTCCCTATGGGGCCACGAAACGTGTGAGGGGTGCGCCGAAATGGAGGTGGAACCGCATGCGGACCCTGACACTTGGGCCTTCGGTGGAGCTCCCTATGGGGCCACGGAACGTGTGAGGGGTGCGCCGAAATGGAGGTGGAACCGCATGCGGACCTTGCCACTGGGGCCTTCGGTGGAGCTCACTATGGGTCCACGAAACGTGTGGCCATGATGGAGACGGCGATGATGATGACGACGATGGTGATAAGAACGATGATGATGATGATGATGATGATGATGATGATGCTGATGATGATGAGGATGATGATGATGATGATGATGATGCTGATGATGACGGTGACGATGACGATGATGATGATGCTGATGATGAGAGGAGGAGGAGGAGGAGGAGGAGGAGGAGGAGGAGGAGGAGGAGGGGGAGGGGGAGGAGGAGGAGAGGAGGAGAGACGCGGGGCACCGTCTCTTCAAAACGAGGACCCAACACCACAGGATGGTTGGGAATAAAAGGTTGATTAGTACAAACAAGGATGAGTCTATGCATTATTATTTTCATAAATTAATCCTAAATGTGGGGGGATTCAATCGGAATCGTTCTTGTGGAGGGTTTCAGTGTGAGTCCGTCTGCGGAGGGAGCCATTAGGACTCGCCAGCGCAATGCCGCCGCAATGCCAAAGCTTTGCCATCGCAATGCCAAACCAATGCCAAGGCGATCCCAATTCAATGCCAATGCAATGCCCATGGGGGGTATCCTTTGTGGTAGATTCTTAAAGGAATCCTGCCTGTGGAGGGTTTCGATTGGAATCCTTTCGTGGGGGGTGTGCGTATGAATCTTTTATGTGGGGGGGGCTTTCACAAGGATCCCTTCTTGTGGAAGGTAAGGAATCCTTCTGTAGTGGGAGCCATTCGAAGTCGCCAGGGCAATGCCGAAGCAGTGCCAACGTAATGCCAAACCAAAGCCAATGCAATGCCAATGGGGGGAATTGTTTGTGGTAGATTTCAATAGCAATCCTTCTAAGAACCCTTATTCGGGGGAATTCGATAGGAAACCTTTTATGGAGGGCTTCGCATGGAACCCTTCTGTTGAGGATTTCAATGTTGATCCTTCTTGTGGGGGGATTCAATAGGCATCCTTCTCGTGGGGGTGTTTAATAGGAATCCTTATGTGAAGTGTTCGAGTAGGACTCGCCAGCGCAATGTCTACGCAATGCCAACGCACTGCTAACGCACTGCCATCGCAATGCCAACGCAATGCCAAACCGTTGCCAAACCAATGCCAATGCAATGCCGATGGCGGGATTCCTGTCTTCCAACAGATTTACCTAGGAATATTTAATTGGATGATTTGGTTGCGAATCCTTCTTCGGAGGATTTCGATAGGAACCTCCCGTGGAGGGTTTCGATTGGAATCTTTTTGTGGGGGGGGTCACTTTGAATCCTTCATGCGGGGGCTTTCAAAAGGATCCCTTCTTGTGCAATGTTTTCGTAGGAATCCCTCTGTGGGGGGAGCCGTTAGAACTCGCCAGCGCAATGCCAACGCAATACCAACGCAATGCCAAACCAATGCCAAAGCGATCCCAATTCAATGCCAATACAATGCCATATGCCAATGGGTGAAGTCGTTTGTGGTCGGGTTCAATAAGAAGCCTTCTATGGAGGGCTTCGAGTGGCTCGGACCCGAATCCGCTGCATGGGACACTGTTGGGATTTTTGTCAGGCCGGAGCTAGAGCACGCCATTCGCCCCATCCATGATTTTTCGCCCTCCAGGGAGCAGTGGTACGAGCTGTGGTCTGATGGGCAGGTCGATGCCCCCACTTGTATAATTTGCACTTGGACACTTGGGGGTCCATCGTCGCCCACGCGGGCGTTTTGCGCGCTAAGTTTCCTCGCGCGCGGCTCCTCGTGGGAGGTGATGGGAACCTCCACCTGGATTACGTTGTCTCCCACGGCGCCGGATGCCGGTGCCTGCATGCCACCAACGCTCCAAGGATAAACTGATCCAGGAG